CAGGTTTTATTCGGGTTACTGGCATGTTTTCTGCATTTTCTTTATTCAAAAAATTCTAGATAATTTTTATGAGTAAATAGAGTTTTTAGGTGATTTTTTTAGTATCGAATAGTTTTTGAGAAATTAAGAGTATATATCGGACGTGGGACCCGCTAGTGCGGAAAATTAGGAAAAATTCGGCCAACTAGGTTAAGTTTCGAATATTGGGATTAAATTATCGGGTGCTAAGAGATAATTAGAGGTTACCCAAGTGGATTGGTGTGAGAGGAACGAAGAGATAGAGATGCATTAAATAGGGTGACAAGTGTCACCATAAGATTAATTCTTAAGTTTGACTACTATTCATAACTTTACCATTTAATTAAAATTGGTCAAAAATCATCTTCATTTCTCATCCTCTTGGCCGAATTTCTTAGGGAGAAAAAGCGAGAAAAGCTTCCAATTTTTGCCTTCATTTCTTGCTCAAATCTACCAAATCAACCACTTAATCTTGCTTTTGTTCCATAGAAAACCTTAAGTGAGTGATTGTGAGGTGATTGGTGAAATTGTTTGGAAAGCTAAGGTGACTAGTTGCTCTCTCTCTTGTGTTGCTAAGGTGAGTTGTGAAGAAACCCCTCTCCTCCCTCTAATGATATTTAATTCATGAATTGTGGTAGTTTAAGATGTAAGTTTATGGATTATATCTTGATTTTTGGTTGAATTGGTGAAGTTTTATAATTATTGGTGATTTTTTATTTTAATATGATTGTTATGGTGTGGCTATGTATGATGATTGGAAATGATATTTAAGGAAACTAGAAGGTGGAAAAAGTGGTTAATTGCAAGAAATTTTTGTTTTGGAAGGAAAATTGGAAGTTAGGGTTTCGTTGATTTACATTCTGCCTGGCACAGTACCTCATAGTTAGAGGCCGAATTAGCCTTAGATTAAAACATAAAAGTTGTAGGGAATGATATTTTAGAGAAGTCTACAAAATTTCAGGTGAATCGGAGTAGCGTAACTTGAGAAAAGACGGAATTACCCTTGCTGCCCTGGTTTTACCCGAATTTGAGAATTGCATCTGTAATTGGTTAATTTGGTTGGGAATGCTTCAGAATTGGTTGTTGAGGTATTCTGATGAATTATATCCCTGTTTCTTAGCTTTCGGATGGCTTTGGAATTACTGGATTTGGACTTAGGTAGCCTGATTTATGATGTTTGGACCAGAATGCGATTGTGAACCTGTTTTTGTGGTTCTGGTTTAGTATCTTGCATTTTTGACCTGGTTACACTCGAAACTTGGCTGAGTAACCTTCTTCAACATTGTAGCCCTATCTCTTAGCTTCGAAACGGTGTATCTTGTACCTCAATCCGATAAGTGTAGTGCCAATGGTGCCAAAACCGCAAAATGATGTCAAAAATTATTGTTTTTGGGTTAGAGTTAATTCCATTTCCGGATTTTCCTGGTTTACTCTAGTGCTTATACATTCTTATGGAGCCCTATTTTGGTGGTATTTGGAATTGGTTTATGACTTGTAATCGAGTCTTATTGTGCTTATTTGAATATTTTAGGGCTTGACTTTCATTTTCGGATTTTTCCCTAGCTTGAATTGTACTTATACTACTTGAAGCTTACTGAACGGCTATTGAATGAACTTATTTTGTGTGTGACTTTGGGACTGGCTGAGGAAAATAATGAAGCCATGACGGCTGGAAAAGTAAGCAAATTTAGGGAAAATGCTGTCCAATTTTCTAGGCCGCTTAGTCTCTTTAGGTTTGAGTTGCCTTTTGAAAGTCATATGTTATTCTTTTGTACTCGTACTTACCATGGAAAGGCGTACGACGTGTAGTCGAGCCTCACATGTGCATTCTGTATACTCGATTTTGGAAGTAGAACCTTCAATTGTTTTACTTTGGTTCTTTTAGGGTTTCTTGGCGATTAAAGCCAATCCGAAGTGAAAATTTTTGAAGTATCCGTACTTGAATCGGTGAGTGTACCACTCCCCTCACTTGTCGTTTAACTCGATTTCTGTACATGCAATCTGTGATATGAACGACTGAACTATCTGTTTATTTTGTTTGAGACGAGGGTGTATTTTATCACACTCATTCTCTTGTCTGTTCGTATGCCAATTTTGAGTGCGTATCTGAATCTGCTATCTGTATCTGTATCTGTATCTGTTCTAACGTCGTTTGGAAGCTTGTATCCAACGACCTTTCTGGGACCTCTGAGCTCAACCCCTGTGGCTAGTTACTCGATTCGGGTCGGCAAGGGCCTGGTCGATTAGATAACGAACCACGGTAGTCTGTTTTGGGATCTTTGGGTATTGTGACCCTTGATTCCGGTATACTCGAGTATTACCATTTTTGATCTGATTGGATTTCGGGCCCGGTGGGGGTATGTGAGGTGGAAGGTGTCGAAGAAAGTGGAGTCTACGGTATTGGTTACTTCTATAACGTTGACGGAGTGTCAACTGTTATTTTGATCAAGTTTCGGTGAAGCAAATGGGAATTTGGCTCCTGAGAGCCACCCGTATCCTTTCTGTCTATGGTGTTTGTTCACTTCTTTATTTGATGCACATATGTGATTAATTGAATATGAAGTTCCATGTTTCTTATTTGCTATTATTTTGGTACCTCATTGTGCGTAAGCTCACCCCTTCCCGTTATCTTTGTTTTCCTTACAGGGAACCACTTTTGGGGTTAAGATGTTTTGACGCACGAGTATTATATTTTTGTAAAACTCCTCGATAGTTGGAAAACCCTAAATGTATTTTGGTCTAATTATCTTCTTTTGTTCCGTAAATTACCAACGTATGTGTATAAAACTATTTACCCTGTTCATGTATCCTATTTGGATTGGAAATGTTTTCCCGAGTCATATGGCCATATCTGTATTCGTTGGGCTCCTGGCGGGGTGGTGATGTGGCAACCACTATTCATTTTGGTGTTGATTTTCGTTTTGCCATTTGGCGACTTTGAACCGTTTGAGCGCGCTATTACCTTCCTGAACGTTTTCGATTTCTTTTAACGGCTCGATTGAGTCCTGGCGAGAGCTGGGCAGGCCGCCCGCCGAACCCTTTGGTTCCCCTTAGGGAGAGGTGGGGCTGTCACAGATACTACTCGAGTATGTCAAGCGAGATCTCTCAAATAGATCAAAGTTATAGAATTTTTTTCCATGGCTCACTAAACTTCATGACTAAGACCATGCCGGCTCGAATCGCAAGGTCGACCGATGAGTTTGAGCGTCCCCCATTATTATCAATATAAGTCGATGAGATTCACTCCAATCGACATTGATTCAAACATAGTATGATTCACTATTGCAACACTTAACTTTATTCACTTAGCAAATTCACTTCATACAATTCAATATATAATTCACTTTAAAGAGAACGAGTGCGGTAAAGTACACACTCGACTCGACACTTTCACAATACTCAATTAATGAGAACATTTAAGCACGTAGCAACACTCCATACACTTGACACTTACCAAGTCAAAAAGTGAGTAAGTGAGCAAATAGGCCTTTAGTGGTCGGCTCCGAGATTCTTTTCAAGATCCTTTTGAGCGCCTGAAGAAATAACAATTATCTATCACTCATAAATACTTACAAACTCTTTGTCAAACAAGGAAGAATGTACACTTGCGCAATACTAAAACAATGTCTTAAAAGAACTTTAATATCTCGAAAATCGAGATTCAAAAGTGAGGATTTAAATTCACAAGAGAAACTTGCATCCTCCATGAAGTTGAGTTTAAAACGGATGATCGATATCGAAAGACAACGAAAAGTTCTCAAAAATTCATTTTCCAAGAAATCATGAATTTTCAACTTTGCGTGATAAACTTGGTAAAATCAGATCTTGAGTTCGGTACGTCCAAATGTGGAAAAACTTTATTTTGCTGGAAATTAGATCCAAAGTACTAAGAGTTCGTAGAAGACACTTTTCCAAGATTCTAAACGAAAAGCACTCATTTTTCAACTCAAAGTTTCAGTTCCAAGAGGACAGGTTTGAACCAGTCTTGGTTTTTCAGCCATTTTTGGAAATTCGTCAAAATTCACAGAAAATGAATCAGTCTTTAAAATTCATAACACAATAAGAGTTCCAATTAAGGTTTCAAATACAACAAACAGAAATAAATTCGGAGTTTCGATCATCAAGATATAATAGCCTAAAATCGGTTAATTTTCACTACTTGAACAGTGAATTTCCAATTTTGAAGAGCAATGTTTGAGGCATCATTTGGATATTGAAATGGTATTGAATTTACACCAAATTTGGTACAATTAAACTTCTATATGTGGACTTCCTCCCTATCAAATTATTGGAAAAAACTCAAACGGGAAGGCAGTTAACAAAACGACTAAAGTTTGTGAAATTTTCAAAGCAAATCTGCCAACTCACTCTTTCTTTCTTTCCAAAGGTTTTTGTCCAATGAAATCAATCCCAATTCACTCCATTTTTGAAACCAAGGTTCTAGAAACATTTGATAAGCAATTGACACAAAAATTTTTGAGGCAAAACATCCCAAAACAGATTTGACCATTCGGCCAACAATAAAGGGAAAAGCTTCCAGTTTCCTGCTTTGTTGCACTTTCGAAATCAGACCACATCTCACTCAAAACAAACTCAAATTGGGAATGGTTCATGAAGTTGGAAACTAGGTTCAAAAGCTACATTTCATCAGAAAGGTTCATTTCAAAATCAGTTCACCAATGAGCCTGGAGCGACTACTAAGGAGAACTGGAGTAGGATTCCTTTTCCCAGTTACTCTTAAGGTTGAATTACCTATGTTCTTTGGGGATAATCTCAGGGAATGAGTCAGAAAATGCCATAAATTATTCTTGTTTTACAAATTTTTTTGATGAAAATAGAATGAATGTGATTGGAATGTATCATGAGGGAATAACAGATAACTAGTTTCTGGGGGTCAAGATTGAAAACCTAGCTAGTTTGTCTTGGAAGGAATTAAAGAACTATCGTGCACACATTTGTTGACAGAGGAAATTTGGAAAAATTCAATAAGTCGCAATAGATTGGTAATTTAGAAGAATAGCAAGAGAAGTTTGAACAGTTGAAAACTTCGATGCTCCGCAGGAGTAATAAGACTTAGTGAACGATATTCTGTCTCCAGTTTCATTAGCGGGCTTAGAGAAGAAATTAGGCACGGTCAAGATGTTCAAACCTGAGATTTTAATAGAAGCATTTGACGTAGACAGATTAGACAAGGGGGTAGGCAGAATGTGGACTCCAGATTTGAATTATATAAAATCAAAATTGGCTATGGTATTGGAACTAATAGCTATTGGCTCCCTCATTATCGAGTTGAAAAAGGAGCTTCTACTAATCAGGATTCTAGTCCTAACATCATATAGAAAATTTCACCATCCAATACCAGAGGAATAATAATTTTTGTTTCAAGTGTGCCAACAAATTTGGAGCAGGACATCAAAGTAAAATGAAGCAGCTGCATCTGATGGCAGAAGACCAAGAGGAGGAAATTGAGTTTGCAGATGTCCAAGGGAAGCAAGATGAGGTAACCAGTAATATTGGGGTTGTGGTAGACATGTCATTTCATACTTTGTCTTCTGGGCTCATGACGGGTATTTTACATACGTGCAAGCTAAAAAATACCGAATTACACCCGTTCACTGCAAGTATACAGATCAACTAGTAGTTTAGGGTATATATCGGGTCGATCCCACAGGGAAGAGTGAACAATTACCGGTATTACTAAAACTTCTCTATTATTTAGACTATCAATGAATTATAACAAATTTAACCTACTGAAATTATACAAAATAACAAATAAAAGCTCCTTAGGTTGTGGTATCCCTAACTACTCATGCAAGTGTTATATTTGGATCATTGAATACTACATCTAGGCTAATTATGGTGTAATTTCCTTATGCATTTGAATCCTACTTTCGTAGTGAATCAATTATACTTATAACTAATCCATACCTATTCTCATGGTTATGAAATTAGCTACAAGTTTATTTCTTCAGTGAAATTACATGAAATGAATCACTAAAAACCACATAGGTGCACCTCTACTTTCGTGAGTGTACTCCCTATGTTTAGCACTTCTTGAACTAATGTTAAATCTCAATTTTCATTGCAGAAATAACACCTTAGATAATCACAATTAATGGTACCAGATTAATCATGATTTCAAGAGCCAAAGTGCTAAATAACTTGCTCAAATACTAGCAATCAAATAGCCAAATAATAAACACTAACAATTATAGAAAGTTCAACCAAACCCAAGGCATAAACTTTAAAGACACATAAATAACATAAATTCCAGAACTTGTATATTAACTATATTTAAGAATCCAATACAAAAGATAAAGAGTTGGAGAAGAGATAACCCATGTCACTTGAGCTTCAACTTCTCTTTCTTCATCTCCATTTTCATCCTAATCTAGCCATTATACAAGAATGGATGAACTACACTTACTACACTATCCTACACTAAGGAAATGGAAGAACTACATTTCTGCACTCTTCAAGCTTCTCCCGTATCATTTTTTAGACCTCAAATGTCTCTGCATATAAGCTGATGAAAAGTCCTTCCCTTACCAGTCAAAAATTTCTGCTATGATTCTCCAAATCTGAATTTGTTAAGGAAGTAAAAAATAATGGCTTTTGACTTGGAACCTTGGCTATATCTCTTCCTTATGTCTTCTGAAGCATGTGCAGCCTACGTTTTCTCTCCAACTCTAGCTGGAAAGTAGTGTGAAGATGAGAAAAATGGCTGAGCAAATTACAGAAATTCGGCTGCCAGACACGTTTTTACTTTTGACCTCACTTCAACTGCATTTTTCTCCATGATGAAGGCCGAACTGACTTTTGTGAAAAACACAAAAGTTGTAGCCCTTTGAATTAGAGTTCCAATGCTTCAAGAATCATCTAATTTGGAGATCGGTGGACAGAGATATGGTCAAAATACCATAGACTGGTCAATTCTGGGCTTCAACTTTCGACCATCCAGATAAGTTTCTGTGTTTCGACCTTTTGACCAAGAAAACGGCTGAATTGGACTTTGATGTCTTCATACCAAATGCAGATATATCTCTTAGCTTCAAAATGGTACCAAGATCACCTTGATCCGATCATTGTAGCTCCTGATATAGTCAAAATACGAAAATGTGTCTGAGTTGTCAAAGCTGACTTTTCTTGATTTTTGTCCTCAAATTGCATTTCTTCCTTTTACACTTCATATTTTATTTTCACCACTTTAATCCATCATCAATCATCCAAATATCTTCTCAATGCACTTCATTTGATGATTGAATCATTAAACCTACAAAATATGAAGTTTTTCCCATAAAAATCCATAAAATGCAATGTTTAGCCATTTTAACATAAAATGTAGTTTTTTACCAAAACCTTAGTTATTTTAGTTATAAAACTAAATAATCAAACCAAAATTAACTAATAAAACACACTAAAAAATACGTAAAATATATTCTTATCAGCTCAAAAGAAAGACCATTACTCTACAACAGGTTATGAGAAGTGTAGTAGTGAACGTATTGGTGGACACTGGAAGTTCTGATAGCTTTATCAGTGACAGCTTAGCAAAAGATTCTGATGACTAAGTTACTAAAAATTTGGTACGTAAGCTAATTGTAGTCGGAGAGTAAGTGCATTCCACATGACAATTTGGGCTTTTATAGGAGTGTTGTGGCACATTAGGTAAATGTTGGAAACAAAATGTAAATATTGGAAGTCTAGGGAGAGGACAGATCCAATCAAAACAAAGCTTATTCACCATTTTGTTCCCCTGAGCTTTGGATTTGGAGGTACTCATACTTTACCACCTTAAACCTTAAAAATATGCACCTCACACCACCAGAAATCTAGTGAATATTTGAAATCTTACCTTTGTTAATGTTTGAAATCTTAACTTTGCCAAGAAAATTGAGTGTTATGACAATATTGCTCTTTTGTTGATGAAATTATATATAGTTTACTATTAATGCCCTTTTACTGGTGAAGAAAGTGATTTTTTTTTATTTAATCTCTATTTATTCTCCTCTAAGTCTAGATATAATATATATTAGTCCTTATTAAAAATTTAGTTAAGTAATTCATAGTTGACTAATCAGACAAACAAAATATAACAAAAATATTCTTCTAACAATTTACATAAACTAAGAGAATAAAATATTACGCTGTTAAGTAGTAACAAGCTTAATATTATAGCATGATTTCAAAATTTTGCCAACTTTATTTATTGTTATTACTATATTATTTTTGTATTACTACATTATTTATTATTACTATTAGATTTAATGTCCAATAAATTGAAAAAAATGTATAAGATAAAAGAACATTAATTCAACATGAATTTGAAAAGACTTTAAGGATATTAAATTGAAAAAGCTTTTTTTGGTTTTATTAATTTGATTTTTTGTATATTAGATCCTATAGAGAAGATATAAATTTTTTAGCAACGAAATGGCAATAATGATAAATTATTAATCATTTCAGAAATGAAAGGGCATTAACATCCTTATACTCACTTTTTTCCTTATGACATTAATATTTATATCTTTGACTAGTTTTCAAGGCGCCAAGCATACGATTTTAAGGCTCGTAATAGTAAAGTCAAAAGTGTGCCTACCCCCAAAGTTTAGCAGAGCAGAGTGTGACTGACCCTTAGCAACGATGGAGCAAATTGAAAAGCATGTACTTGTTAATGGGGAAATTCACAATAAAGCCTTATATTTATGCGAATACTTGCCTCTAGGATATCACCAACGTTGACTATAAAAGCATCAGGAAGTGGAATAACAGGAACCCAAGCTTCATTTTCCTTGATTTGGAGACCTTGTACATCGTTGATTTGAAGTAAAATGGTGAGGCTAACAGGATCAGAGTGATGGCAGAGGCCTGTGACCAGCTCAGGTTGAGGACATGGAGGATAGTAAGTGAGCCTCATGGATTGCAACCCTTCTTCTAAAAGCACTTCAATTTCTTCACGCTTCATTCCTAATGCTTTTGCTATTAGGTTGAGAATCTTCAAGGCAAGACTTTTGAGCTGTATAGAGTACTCTTGAAGACTTTCCCTATGCAGCAGAACCAAGAACATTTGAAGGAATATAAAGGTAACTAGCATAAATATCGGTTTAGTATCATAACAAAAGAAAAGAAAAGTAAATTTTGCGCACAAACTTCACTGTTAGTTTCATGTTTTGCAGTGTTATTGGATTGATTAACATGCAAATAAACCATAAGGAGAACTTAGTATACCTAAGTCTAAGTATAAATTTAGATGTATATTATAATGAACTTAAAATCATAACTGATTTGTTTATTTTCAAATTGCACAGTGAATCAAGATATTTCAATAAATTTGAGCTCATTGTAACCATTTGTCACAGTGAATTGGTGATTTTTTATTGTTCAACTTCATCTTTTATAATATCAGTAACATTTTCATCCTTAGGCCATCCTAAAATATCTTAGGCCATCCTTCTTCTATCTTTCTTCTCTTTAGAAAAAAACTCTCTAAGTAAAACTCTCATTCAACTCTTTCATGAGAGAGACATCAGATTTTTCTAATCTCTCTCCATGTGAGGAGCTCTCTCTATAGTTTCTTTTCATTTATGTGAATAAAATATTTCTTAAGATTTTCTAATGAGAGTTTCTTCTGATAGGGCATAATTTGTTATTAATTTTATGGTTAATTTTCCTCTTTGTCCTTGCCAAATATTGTTTTAATTGTTGATTTTGAAATGAACCTTTAGTAGTCGCTCCAGTAATCCTTGAGCACACGAGTTACGGTCTTCCATGGACTAGTAGATGGCGCCAAACAAGTCAACAATAATCTGAATTCTCCACTCACTCCTCTATCATGAGCATTTATTGGTCCAAGATATTTTGCCATCGCCGCTCTTAACTTATTCTTGTCATGAAATTTAAAATTTTCTGGTATAATAAAGTCAATCTCACTAACTTATTTATACCTCCCAATAATCCAACACTAGGATTCCATTGAATTACATAAGACCATCCATCAATCTTTCTTTCTGTGATCCCTCATCTTTCTCAGGAGTGCGGGGTCGCCAAGCCATACTTAATAGAAGTCTATAGGCGTAAGAAAAGGAATAATTAGGCATATAAGAACTTAATGCGTATACAAGTTGCAAAAATATTTAGAATTAAAATATGATTCTTTACATATACCAAAAGTCATAGTACGAGTCAGGAGATCACAAAACAATCCAAATATATCAAATATAGGATATAGGCAACTAAGTGCCTTAAAATATAGGAGTACATGCAGGCAAAATACAAAAGATCCCACGGCATGCACCACCCCTACTATCCTAGGCAAGATCAAAAGAAGGAAAACCATAATCCTAATTAGGGACAAAACTAAAAGAATCCACGATACCAGACCACATCATTCGAATAATTATAAATTCCAAATTCCATCCAAAAGCCTAAACTACTTTCTAAATTCTTAGCCTAAAATTTCAAATGAATACAAGTTTTCCTCACTAAATTCAAGGTGACAGTTCCTATACAGGCTAGGGTAATAAGTCAAATCAAAAGGAAATGCAAAAGATGTCTCATTTTGAAGTTCAAAGTGAAGTCCAAAATTGGTCAAATGATTCAACTTTTCTGCCGGAATTTCGGCAAGCAAAATAGTGGAAGAAACAAGGTGTCCAACCCTTGAACTCATCAGAAGGCCATTTAAAATACATAATCTTGACTCACCTCCAACACAACTTGAAAATTAAAGTCTTATAGTGTTGTGTGAGCAAAATGGTGCTACAACATCAAGAAACTTTTGAAATCAAGGTTGCTTCAAGTTCTCAAGTCAAGAACAACTTAAAGAGATGGAATCACCATTAGAGTAGAGTCCGCAAGACATTAAATCATAAACGTATAAGGATTTAACTCCAACAAAAATAAAACACTAATATTCAACATCCTTCTAATTAAACACAAACACTTCAATATTATTCGTTAAAACATCAAGCACCAAAGTCACATTGCACTAAACACACAATTAAATCCCATAGTCCGATATCCTAAACTTTTAGCCTAAGATACACTACAAAGATCTGAAACCTAAACTCTGATACCAACTGTGACGCTCCCACTTCTCCCAAGGGCAAACCCAAGGGTATCGGCGGTACGTCTGCCTAACTCTCGCCAGGACTCACTACAAGATGAACTCAAACTTATGGATAACAATCAACAATAAGAGTCGAAACTACAAAGAAAAGGTCGCTTCCTTAATAAGTATTCAATTCCTACATTACAAGATACCAAGTACATCACTTTCCCTAAATATACAACTTTCAAAAGTCATCTAATCAATTACATTCAAAACCCTAATCAAAAGTGCATCAAGTCGTCTTTTCCATAATTCTTTCCATTTCGACCCCTGTTAAGGAAAACAAATCTAATGGGATGAACTAATGCTCAGTGAGGACAACAAAAACATGCAAAACACATTGTTCAGATAACAATACGACTTTTACGAGAATTAAGCTATAATATTCAAATAGTTCACAACTAACAATAAAACACACTTGATAAGGATACGGAAACTCTCATGAGCTATATTCTACTTGCTCTGCCAATGCTCGATCCAGTACCTCCACGAGCTGACACTCCATCAACCGGATAGGTTATAGGTCCATAGAACCCCACTTACTTTGCACTCCCGATCACCGTTACACCTCCTGCTCCGGGCCCGCACTTTTTTTATATAAGGCGATACTACTCGAGTATACCAAGCGAGATCTCTCAAATAGATCAAACTTATACAATTTTTTCTCATGACTCACCAAGTTTCACGACCAAGCCTATGCCGGCTCGAGCCGCAAGGTCAGCTGATGAGTTTGGGCGTCCCCCACTATTATCAAAATAAGTCGATGAGATTCACTCCAATCGACATTGATTCAAACATAGTATGATTCACTATTGCAACACTTCACTTTATTCACTTAGCAAATTCACTTCATACAATTCAATATATAATTCACTTAAAAGAGAACGAATGCGGTAAAGTACACACTCGACTCGACACATTCACAATACTCAATTAATGAGAACATTTAAGCACGTAGCAACACTCCATGGACTTGACACTCACCAAGTCAAAAAATGAGTAAGTGAGCAAATAAACCTTCAGTGGTCGGCTCCGAGATTCTCTTCAAGATTTTCTTGAGTGCCTGTAGAAATAATAATTATCTATCACTCACAAATACTTACAAACCCCTTGCAAACAAGGAAGAATGTACACTTGCGCAATACTAAGACAATGTCTTAAAAGAACTTTAATATCTCAAAAATCGAGATTTAAAAATGAGGATTTAAATTCAAAAGAGAAACTTGCATCCTCCATGAAGATGAGTTTAAAATGGATGATTGATATCGAAAGACAACGAAAAGTTCTCAAAAACTCGTTTTCCAAGAAATCATAAATTTTCAGCTCTGCGCGATAAACATGGTAAAATCAGATCTTGAGTTTGGTACATCCAAATATGGAAAAACTTTATTCCGTTGGAAACTAGATCCAAAGTATTAAAAGTTCCTAGAAGACACTTTTCCAAGATTCTAAACGGAAAGCACTCATTTTTCAACTCAAAATTTCAATTCCAAGAGGACAGGTTTGAACCAGTCTCGATTTTTCAGCCATTTTTGGAAATTCGGTAAAATTCACAGAAAACGAATCAGTATTTGAAATTTGTAACACAATAAGAGTTCCAAACAAGGTTTCAAACACAATAAACGAAACTAAATTCAGAGTTTCGAGCATCAAGATATAATAGTCTAAAGTCGGTTAATTTTCACTACTTGAACAGTGAATTTCCAGATTTGAAGAGCAATGTTTGAGGCATCATTTGGATATCAAAATGGTATTGAATTTCTACCAAATTTGGTACACTTAAACTTCCATATTTGGAATTGCTCCCTATCAAATTATAGGGAAAAAATCACACGAGAAGGCAGTTAACCAAATGAGTAAAGTTCATGAAATTTTCAAAGCAAATCTGCCAACCTACCCTTTCTTTCTTTCCAAAGGTTTTTGTCCAATTAAATCAATCCCAATTCACTTTTGAAACCAAGGTTCCAGAAATATTTGATAAGCAGTTGACACAAAAATTTTCGAGGCAAAACATCCGAATACAGATTTGACCATTCGGCCAACAAGAAAGGGAAAAGCGTCTAGTTTCTTGCTTTGTTGCACTTTCGAAATCAGACCATATCTCACTCAATACAAACTCAAATTGAGAATGGTTGGTGGCGTTGGAAACTAAGTTCAAAATTCTACATTTCATCAGAAAGAGTCATTTCTAAAATCAGTTCACAAGCAATAAAAAACTAAGCCACAAGATGCAGCTTCTCCATTCCTCTCGGACAGAGAGTCACAACAGAATTGTCAATTTTGTTAAATTACTACGGTTCACTCAGTTCGAACTAGTAGGTGATTTTTATACCGTTAGAAAGCTATAAATGTCTAGTTTCAAATGCCATAAACTGCACTCTATTTCAAATTTTGTACAACAAGTTATGTTCGAAAAAAGAGCTACTATCCGGACCTCCTGATCACAAATTCCAGATTTCTTCCATTTTTGAAAACTCTAGTTTTGTGCAACCAAATGAAATAATTTTCGCAAGGCACTTTGTACAACAAATATACAACATATATCCATCCATTTTGTACTCAAATAACCAACAAAAATTCGAAATGCAAGCAAGATAACCATAGGACAGTTTCGACCAGCTCACATCTCACACCTCTTCCAACTGTCTCTTCGTATTCTAACCATAAATCTCTTATATAACACATAAACAAAACAATCAAGCATTTTAATTCCCAAGTCAGCTACCTACAATCCATCTCAAGACCGCTAGCCTAGAGATTAAAACAAGAATTGAAATTCTTCATGTCCTCTAACTTATTTCTTGCTTAGGGTTGTAAACCCATGCAAACTAAGTTTCATTCTTGAAGAAATTAGAAAGATTGAAAAGGTAAAGAGTTACCTCTTGAACCCTAGATGATACCAGAATTTTTTTCACCACAAAACCTCCAAGAAATTTCAAAAGATGATGCCTTTGTCCAAGTTAGAACTAATCTCCAAGTAGTATGTGATTTGTGTGAAGATTTGTGAGGGAAGTGGAACAAGATTTGGAGCAAGATGAAGAAGCTTTCTTTCTTCCTTTTCCTTTGCTGTTTCGGCCGACCAAAAGGAGGAGAGAGAGAGTGGTTTGAGTTGTGTGAATCTTGTCTTGGAAGCTTGTAGAAATTGTGGCTAAAAACTTTGCAAAAGTCAACTTTAAATAGGGTTCGAATAGTATCCCATACTACCACTTTTCTCTTTTGTTTGTTTTACTTGGACACTAATCTTCAACTGTAATTCGTTTAACAATATATTTATTCACTCTTATGGGTCTAGTATAACTTTCTCAAATCTCCACTTAATCGTTCCTACGCGCAATATGCGAACTTTCTACTCGCACGTGATAAGGTGAAATTTTTGAATTCACTCACCTTTAATCCCTCAATTAACTTTTCTTAGTCTACTATTGATCATTCTTAATTTTCCAAGATAATTGTACTCTCGGATCGAGTATTATCTCGAAAAATATGTATTCGCTATTTCTTGCTAAACGAGCCGCAGAAAAATTAAATTTACTAACGGGACATTTTAAAAATATAAGTGAGACATTGTTCCACTTAAATGGATTTAAAATGGTTAAAAAAATTTATTCGGAGAAAACGAGTGAATAATTATTTAAATAAGCTAGAAAAATAAGATAAGAAGAAGAAAATTTTCGGGTCCTCACATCCTTCCCCCATTAAAGGAATTTCGTCCTCGAAATTATACCTTGATTCAGAAATAGCTCTGGATACTTCTTTTGATTTTTCTCTCCATTTATCTCAACCATAAAGACTCTTCAGATCTTGGTACACCTTATTACCTCTAAGGTGCAGCATATGCTTAGAACGGTGAGTTTCTTCTGACCCAAAATTCATACTTGTGGAACTTAGCAAAAGTCAATGCTCTCTCAAGGTTTGCAAAACTATCCTCAAATGTCGCTCTTGATT